AGCTGTGAAGTTAGGATAAATAATTCATATTAAGTGAAATTAGCTGCTTAAGTATATAGATGCAGTTCCACGGGTTTCAGCACATGGCGTCTGTGGACATTGGCAACAGCTGAATCAGCTCCCTTCCTCAGGGCTGCTTGAACTCTCATTACGGGGCAGGACGTGGAAAAGTCGTCAGGGCTTCATCTGAAGGTATCAGCACTCGTTTGGTGGAGAAAACGTAAGGTGAAGAAGATGAAAAATTGGAAGAAGATGAAAAAGGCCTGAAATAAAAATCCAATATGGCGCTGGGTTCCATTTTAACGCAAGCCGAATTGCTTACCCTGTTGGAGTGTGGCCTAAAAGTGTCGGCTAGAACGCCGTAAAAGCGTCGAAGACTCCCGTCTCTCACATCCACATAAAAAGGAAGAACGCTTAGACTTCATTTGGCGTAAAGATCCGCAAAATGCGTGCTTCTCAACAGAGCTACGACCAAAAGTGAAGCTTCTTCAACTTGGACGCGGAACACAAAGTTCGAGAGGAGCAATGGAGCAATGGAACAACAGCGGACTGTTCCCGGACTGAAAGGACCGAACAACTGTCAAAATGTAACATTGTGGTTAGGAAAGAAACGAAGACGTAAACAATTCTCAGATGAAGGGGCCTCAACTACAAAATGAGATAATAGGTGGAGAGTTACGCATAAGTCATACAGAAAATCTTCAGGTAGTTAAACTAGAAATATGTCTACCCTTGTTTAGTGTTTACGATTATTGCAGGGTCACGGCAGTTCCTACAGTGTACAATTTTCAGCTAATAAATCTTGAATTCTGAGGTAACAAAATCAACTAGAACTCTGTAAAAGTGATTTATCAGAAATCATGCCCTTACTTCCATGATAAGAGGGATTCGTAAAAATTATAAGCAGGTTGTGGCTTATTATCTAGTAAAAGATACAAGAATCCCAGATCTGAAAACGATTATTGTTCATGTGATCACAAACTTGCAGCGACTTGGTTTGTGCGTCGTTGGCACTATTTGTAATCAGGGCGCAACGATCAAAAACGCACTTGAGACGATTTGCTCGGAGAATACTCACGGATCAAGTCCATTCCATTTTATAGTCAATGCTCAGAGTATTTCTACAATTTGTGATGAACAACATTTATTCAAAAATGGATGAAATGCTCTTATTGACATTAATATGAAAGTGAAGAAGCTGCACAGCTTGAACATGTCTAGAAAGCATATAATGTTGATCAGCAAACAAAACCATACAAAGAGCTATGTAAATTGAAACCCAGCCACTTTGATTTTATAGATTCGTTTAAGAATATAGAAATTAATCCTTTAATGGTATCGTCGGATGATTCGAGCTTTCTCAGTTATGTGGTGGGGGTCCCGTGACTTCTCATAAGGTATAACCACGTATACCTCAAACCACAGTTTAATTTAAACATCACAAGTGTTGGTTTGTTGACTTTGCGGTCAAATTTGATCCGAGGATGTCAGTTGCGTGTACGATTTGAACTTCCCTCACAATGGATTTTTCGTTGTTGACGGATGAACAATACACCATAGATTACGCCGAGGACGACGCTGTTATCGATCAACCTGAACAACTTCCTATGGGCGACCTCGCTATGCTTATGGAAAAACATGTACAATTGGTCAAAACGAGCGCCTGCAACTGGTCGATCCAGACGACAATATTATTACGCATTTACCTGAACTAAAGTCCGTGGCAACCAATTTGGAAAATAATAACCCTGTGCCTCGAGAAATGCAGATAAATTTCTCCAAATACGTGAAATTTTCGAGTCACTCATAGAGAACTGTCGAAATTGTTAAATTTCGGGTGAGTCCCCTACAAAATACGAGATGCTCGTGGGCCGATGTCCTTCCTATGCCTACAAGAAAACTAAACCGAATAAGTATGGACTGATGATGCAAAGACTCACCACTACCTGCTCAATGCTTTCGTCTATACGAACAGAAATATCACAGCAGATGACTGGTTCACGTCAGTAGAATTGCACGTAGAATTGCGCATCAACCAACTGACCTATGTCGGCAGGAAGCGTAAAAATAAGTAAAAGTACCTCAACATGTAGTTCCAAATAAGAAGGAAACACAGCCAGGAACTTCTAAGTTTATATTCACTAGCACTACAGCCTTAGTGTAGTATCTTCCAAAACCAAATACACATGTTCTCGTATAGCAATCTATGCAGCATGACAACAAAATAGTAGAGGAATCAAAGAAACCTGATAAGATTCTATATTATTTTTATAACACTATGAAGGCGGGGGGTAATGCATTAGATCGGAAGTGTGTAAATTACAATACTGGTTAGAGAACGAGAAGATGGCCTTGTGCTATTTGGTATCCAACCAGCTTCTGTAAATTCCTTTTTTTTCAGTCTGGGACTGAAAGTTCTATTAGGCGACGAAATTTTATTGTTCCCCTGAGGCAAACTCTAATTTAACTTCGTATGAGAGGACGTTTATCAGATCCAAGACTTCCTAGGGAGCTTCGTTCAGCCATGCAAAGAATCCTAAATTACCAACGACGAATAAAGTAAGCCGTCTACTTCTCAGCCCAGAGTTCTCGATCCTGATGCAATTGTTAAAGGGAAAAAACGACGTAGGTGATACATGACAATACACAATGAAAAAATGTTCTACAATCTGTAATAAGTATGTAAAGTCACAGCGCAGCTACATTGTTTCGTGAAAAGTGATAAATGTGAATTATTGTACGTTTCCTTATACGAGAAAGTATTTGTTATTGTTGTAGAATATCAACACCAAATATGTTGTTAAATGGCCCATTTTGTTAGTTTTTTTATGTTCATATTACAATTCAAGTTTCGTAAATTATATTTATTGCATTACTCATCTTCAAATGGGGTATTTTCGTTTTTAGACAATAAACAGTTTTCATGTAAGAGTGTTTTATGCGTACAAACCTGTTGTACACATGGCTAAAAAGAGTAATGGCATTTCAGAAGTTGATAGTAAGATCCGGTGGATAACCTGTTTTGCGAGATTAGACGTGGGATTTCCAACACGAACCCCATCTGCTTATTTGCAGCATTAAAAACTGTAATAATCAACAATTTCAGTTTTCCATTGACAATAATGAAGAATTATGAAGGCGATTCATGTAAGGCACTAGGTAACTTCGCGTTGCTTTTAGAAGAGTATTGTCTGAATAGACAACAGTTACCTTGTGATTCTTCACCGAGCTGCATTTTTCAAGTTGAAAAATCAGGTGCTGAAAGTGATGGATCTATAGATTTGTGAGAATTTGCTGCTGCTTCAACTTCGTCTTGTAATAACAATAACAGTCTATATGAAATTTAACAATTCTGTTTCTTCTTTGATTTTGAGTCACCCTGTAAATGTAGCTCTACTAAACTATCGGACCTCATTCATAGCCTACAAGAGAAAAAAATCTTCTATACTGGAAAGGAGGAAAAAAAGAATGTATCATCCTGATACATCTGCCCCTCTTTATAACCCGTGAAATAGCCCTAGTTCTAATTAAATTTCAGTTCAAGCTTCCAAAATGACTTCCGACAATATTAAAGTAGCCATAAAGATCAGACCAATGATCCACCGCGAAGTAGCCGATGGTCTAGAGCGTCTTTGGAACGTAAGAGAAAACTGCATATGGGAAGCCGATGAAAGTAGTCGCCATGGAGAGGTTTATATATTCGACCATGTATTTAACCAGGAATGTACAAATTCAGATGTATATGGATCTGTAGTAAAACCTTTAGTCGATTCCTTCATGGAAGGTTTCAATGCAACAATATTTGCATAAGGCCAAACATCTTCTGGCAAAACACACACCATTTTGGGCAATAAAACAGATCCTGGGCTTTTCCAATTAGTATCCAATCAGTTATTCCAGCATGTGGCAGACCAGGTTGATAAGAGGTACTTGATTAGATTCAGTTATATTGAAATCTACAATGAAAAGATCAATGACCTCCTGGATAAGAGCAATCAGGGTTTAACTATAAGAGAAGATATCAAAGGAAATGTGCTGCTTGATGCAAGGGAAGCTGTCGTAGACAATGTTGATCAAGTTATGGAGAACATGATGCAGAGCAATAAGATCAGACGAGTTGCAGCTACTCGCATGAATGAGAGGTCATCTCGATCACACACGATTTTCCGGATTATTCTGGAGTCGAAAGATGCCAATCAGAAAGATGGACCTGTACATATAAGCTACCTTAACTTAATGGACTTAGCTGGTTCTGAGAGAGTTTCTCTGACGAAAGCTGCTGGTGAGCGTCTTAAAGAGGGGGCTAACATAAACAAATCTTTGTCAGTATTAGGAAATGTGATAAGGCAACTAAGCGAGGGTAAGGAGTTTATCAGTTATCGCGATTCGAAATTGACTAGACTGCTCTCACAGGCTCTTGGCGGTAATGCCAAATCATTGATTATCGGGAATGTTATACGATGCCATAATGATTCTACTATAAAGAGCTTCAGGATTAAATGGCTGAACTGGAATGCCAAAACGAAATCTGGATTATGAAAAATGACGACGAAATCTGCTGACGCCACAATATTCCATACATGTTAACATTAGTAGGAAATTATAATAGAGGAGCAGACTTTCAAAGGGCGTCAGGAATAGTTTTTTGAAATTGGACAAAAGATGTCGCTGGAATGTATACGTTTATCTCCATGTATGGACAAACAAATAGACTTTGTTACACTTGTTAGTTCAGATTTTTGTATAGGCGGTTAGTATAGCCTTCTCTTTGGGCACGTGCCGTATTATTTTAATCGTGTCGTATCCTGCACAGTTGGCAAAGCGTTACTCATGGATGAAGAGCATATAGTTGATCGAGACAATGGAGGGTAACATCGCGGCAGCGGTATATTGAATTATGTTATTTGAGGGAATCTTCTCACAGTTTGTGTGAACTTTACGGTTTCGAAGTTCCCTCTACGCACGGCAAAAACAAAAAACTTGCATTTAAAAATATTCCTGTCGAAAGTTTTAGACGCTTCCGAGAAAAGTTTTGCTCACAAAAAGACATGGTTAAACAGGATACGACATTGTCTCATTTGATTGAAATTGGAACTGGAAAAAAACGATCTGGTCAAACATCTGCTAAGAACCGCAAAAAAAAACAATTTGCCAGAAAATGTTTTAAGAGTTTTTGATAGTGGTCAGAAGCGCATACAAACTATTTCTGGGCAAATGAAAGCTGGATCTGGTATTGCTGAGACTCGCGATGGAGAACGGCGCTGACAGAAAAATGTGGAAAAACGTACAAAAGTAAAATCATCCATTGCTAACTTAAGGGAGTCAAGAGAGTTACTACGGAAACGCGAAATCTAAAAGAACATATTTATCCTCAGAGTGCAACATAACCATACTGAACAGAGTATTCAATTATAGCATCGGATAAAGATATAAAGTGCACTACAAGTATTTTAGTCCATTTTTTATTTTTGAATGACTTTAACATAGGATTCGGTATCCCTGCCATCGACGTTTGCGGATTCTGTAGGCAGCAGATAAGCCTGCTCTCTTTGGTGAAATTCCAATGTGAAAAGCAGACCGTTATAACAAATCTAAAGGTACATAAATTGAGAGCTAAGCATTTTTTTTCATGGTGCAGAAAAAACGGTATGGCATTCTGCTTCGATTTTTAGCGGGTACAATCTGTCCCTAAAGTCCCGATTTCAGACGCCATTTATGTTTTTTTTGTACCACAGACATACTCTTCTTGTATGTTTTTCGTATCACAAACATACCACGCAAGTAATCAATTTTCTATTCATGGCTAGAATACCAAGCTAGAAGGAGCGCCACAGAAGTTGGCTCTGCCATTTACGACTTTCTTAGAAAGATGAACTTCCAGAAAATGTAGAAGAATTGAAGTCGTTTATTGAATACTGTGGAGGCCAAATCAAGAACACACACTTAGTTCACATGCCAACGATGTGCTTGCCAGCGGACCACATTTTTGGACGATGTGAGAAGCTTATTAGACCCCAGAGCACACATGGTTTGATATCCGCTATGTCTACCTTCAACAAAATCGATCGAATCAGTCATGCTAAGCGAATCTTGATAAAACGGACCCCAAAACAACAAGAAGCTGTAATAATAGAAATCTTTTACACAAACGGTGATGCCACTGCCAAGTATCTAAATCATGAAATAAAAGGGAAAAAGTTGAAAAATCTGCATAAACTTGTAGTGCAATTATCTACAGAAAGATGGCGTGTTGATGAAGAATTGCAATGGCTTCTTCAAAGTTTCTCAGAGCATCTTGAATAACTGCAAGAGATTAGTGATGAAGAAAATGCCCAAGGAGTATGTAACTGCATCGAAGATGACGGCGGGAAAGTTTGATCGTTTTTCTTTTAATGTACTTCTAAGACAACATTGTATCGGTAAATGAAAAATAATTTGGGATAAGCTACCGCTTCCCAAACAAAAGGATTCTCATTTGGACAAACAAAGCGCATTAAACAAAATACATTTTTGGTCAAAGAACGAAATTTTGATATTCTTCGGTTAATCCTTTTTGTAGTATGTTTGCCGCTGCTTTTCGGCAGTTTTTGCCACATTTCTCAATTTATCTGAAACATATCATAGCCGTTTATGAAAGTCTGCTACTCAATTATAGTACAAGAAATCGGTGGCACTACATTTTGTTTGGCTATTTGTATTGCAATACTTGTATGCAGGTCCCACATTAGGTCAGTCTATTCATGCAACGAACATTTTTACTGGGTATGTAGATAGACTCTGGAAATGTGAGGGCCACCCATTTCCTGATGCATTCGGGTGTTGGACAGGAGTTGCAGCTCAAGGGTGGGCTCGTGTGACGTAAGT